TTGAAAATCGCATCGTTTGGAACGCCACCGGACCTCGGTTCCTCGGAGGCGACTTTAACCTCGAACCCGCCACCAGCGTTCGCTTCGAGCGCTGGAGGCGAGCAGGCTTTGTAGAAGTTCAAGAAGCTGCCTTCACTAGGTGGGGTGTCGAGCCCCGGGCAACCTGCAAAGGTGCCACACGGGTTGACCAACTCTGGGTCTCCGCAGAGCTTGCTGCTGCCTTGGAAGCCGTCCAGGTGGACGAATCCCATTTCGCAGACCATGCTACGGTGAGCGCCCAGTTCACTGGCATGGCGCCCACATCAACACTGTGGTGGCGCATGCCCCAGTCCATCCAGTGGGACCCAAAATTAAAAAACACGCATGAAAATTTCAAGTTGCCAGAATCTGCTTGCCCACAGGTGCAGTACCAGCAACTGTGGCAAGAGGTTGAATACAGGCAAAACCGGCTTGTCACCGAAGCCGGAACCACTCCCATTCGACCAGCGCAGTTAGGCAGGGGCTGCACCATGGACACCCAGTCCGTCAGGTGGAATCCCATGCCGCCCAAGCCGGGGCGCAATGGGGAAGTTGTTCCAGCCTTCTATGGCCAAAGCAAGCAGCATTCAATGTGGCTGCGACAAGTACGTAGGCTCCAATCACTGGCCAGAGAGTTGCGTGCCGCCACCAACTTCTCCACCGAGGCCGTACTTCGGCGCACCCTCACATGGCAAGCAATCCGACGAGCCAAGGGCTTTGCCCCTAGCTTCTCAGAGTGGTGGCCGTTTCGGCCCTGCGTACAGGAGCCCGACCCGGCCAGGATTCCACAGTTGTGTCCCGAAGCAGCTGTTGTGGAAGCGATCCTTCTCGGGTTTCAGACTAACTTCAATGATCTTGAAGCCAGCTTGAACCGCGATAGAATTCGGTTCGCCAAGGACAGAAGGAAGGCACACCCTTCACTGGTTTTCCAGGACATTTCTAGGCCAAAAGCCAAACCAGTTGACATCTTCCTCACACGCACCACTGCTACCGTCAGTGAGGTTGACCATGAGGACAGTGCCCTGTGCCTTGAAACTGCAGGGAAAATGTGCCCCTCGAAGCCCATCAGGGCCCGGGGAAAAATTCTGGATGTTATCCACATAGACGCTGACAAAATCTGGGTCCAGTCCACACAGGATCTCCAACCTGGGGACGAACTCATACAGGAAACCATGGTCGGCGAACTCGATGAAATGTTCCAAGCCTTTGCCAATGAGTGGCAAACACGATGGGCCAAGCACGATGCCTGGCCACAGTCCGCTTGGGACCATGCCTCCGAACTTGCCTGGGCCAGCTTCCCACCCCAACTACACCCCCTTGATCCAATCACGGAGGAACAGTGGAGAGCGGAAGTCAGGCGCAAACCACGCAAAGCAGCCGCAGGTCCAGACGGCGTTCGCCGCGAAGACCTGCTGAACCTGCCCTCTGACATAGTCCGAGGCATTCTCGCATTGTACCATCAAGCCGAGACCACGGGCAAATGGCCACCGCAACTGGTCACGGGCATTGTCAGTGCACTTGAGAAAACCTCCTCACCGAACAGTGCGGCCTCCTACAGACCAATCACCGTGTTTAGCCTGCTCTATAGGTTATGGGGCAGCATCAGATGTCGCCAGTGCATACGGGCGATAGCGCCAACCCTGGATACAAATATCTTTGGGAACGTGCCAAAAAAACACGCCGGTGACGTATGGTGGAAGTTGCAGAGCCACCTTGAATATGCTTGTGCAAACGGCCAGGAAGTCGCCGGTCTCGTAGCAGACATTACAAAATGTTTCAACTGCTTGCCGCGCACGCCAATTTTCACCGCAGCCATTGCCGCTGGGCTGGACTCTGGAGTCGTCAGAGCCTGGAGCGGAGCCACTTCCGTCATGGCCAGGAGATTCAAAATCCGGAACTCGGTAGGCCCTGCCCTACACGGTACGACAGGGTACCCCGAGGGATGTGCCCTATCTTGCTTGGCCATGGTTCTCTTGAACCAGGTCCTGGCCACTCACATGCGCCTCAATGCCCCAGGGGTCGACATGTTGTCATATGTCGACAATTGGGAAGTCCAGACCCATGAGGCCCGCAACGTTCAGCCCGCATACCGGGTGCTTCAAAGCTTTGCCGACGCCCATGACTTGCATTTGGACCGGGATAAATCGTACATATGGGCCAACAACACCCAGGGGAGGAAAATTGTGAAACGCACGGGATTGTCCCTCAAGCTCGCGGCCCGTGACCTTGGAGGGCATGTGCAGTATAGCAGACAGCCCACCAACGCCACGCTGGTCGAGAGAATCACTAAACTCAAGCCCCTCTGGGCCCAATTGCGCCAGTGCTGTAGTCCATACAAAGTCAAGCTCATGGCCATCAAGGCCGCCGCATGGCCTCGAGCTCTACACGGCATTTCCATTTGTCACCTCGGGCCGGAGAATTACAAACATCTCCGTACCGGAGCTATGCGCGGATTAGGAGCCAAGAAGCCAGGGGCCAACCCCAAAATTCACCTTGGGGTGCTAGAGGAGCCCAGTCATGACCCGGAGTTCCATGCTGCCTGGATCACACTGCGGACGTATCGATCACAAGCCGACCCACAAACACTCGCCACGCTCACGCTGGCAGCGGCCGCTGCCACGGGTACCCGCACTGGACCCAGCCGGGTGTTGGTTGAGAGGTTCGCTGCCTTTCAGTGGGAGGTCGGCCCAGTGGGTGAAGTCATTGACCAATTTGGTGAATTCTCCTTGCTACATGATCCAGCGCAGAGCGTTTATATGCGCATGCGAATAGCGTGGAACCGCCAAGCCGGTACCTCGGTAGAACATAGGCCCGGGTTTGCAGGTATGAGCCAAGTTGACGCCAGCCTAACAAAAACAGTTCTGGGAAAACTTCCGGACACTGACCAGGCAATCCTCAGGCTAGTACTTAATGGCTCCTTCTTTGCTAATGACAAGGTGCACAAGTACGATCCGAATCAAACTGAGCAGTGCCCACTCTGTCAAGAGCCCGACAGCATGCATCATAGGCATTGGGAATGCGCAGCAACTCAGGCCTCGCGCCAGGCCATCCCAGCCGGCATCGGTAGCCTTGAGATTTTGCCTGAGTGCACTCGTGAACGGGGTTGGGCCACCATATCCCCGCAGCAAATCAGGTGGATGAAAAAGTTGCTCGAGCCAGTCACTTTCGAATACCGTGCTCCGCATAATGACTCAGGCGCCCCCTTGAATCTTTTCACGGACGGCTCGGCGCAATCGCCGCAGGACCCGGTACTCAGGTACGCTGCCTGGGCAGTCACCGCAGTTCACGAGCACGATATATGGGAGAACCATGTCGTCACTCAAGGACCTCTGCCAGGACTCCTCCAAACCGTGCCTCGAGCAGAGACATATGCAGTTAAGCAGGCCCTGGAAGTTGCCATACGGGCACACAGACCGGTCCAAATCTGGTCTGACTGCCTGGGCGTTGTCCGGAAGTTGCAGGCCATCCTGGCCGGCAGCGAGCCCAGTTGGGCCAACGCAAGAGACGGCGACCTGTGGGCCGACATAGCCGCCTCTGCCCAGAAGCTCGTGGATAAAAATCACAAAAGTTGCGGCACACACCAGTGAAAATGACCATAACTCACCGCTCGAAGAATGGGCAGCCTATCACAACGCCTGCGCTGACCAAGCAGCAGTTCAGGCCAACGCCAACCGGGACCAGGCCTTTCACCTCGCCCGTAGTGCATGTGCCGGAGCCAGGCAACACCAGCGCTTGGTTATTTCGGAGCTGCACGCACACTTTGTCAGAGTTGCAATGAAGTTTCTCCAAATTCAGCCGGGTCAACAACCCCCAGGGCCGCCCAGACTGGCCCAACCTGTAGCCGCTTTTGGAGTGCCAGGAAACCCACTGCCGACGCCACACAGGGCGTATGGTAGGTTAGGCCAGAGGGTAATCGATACCATGACACTTTGGTGGAAGCACTGCTTGAAGGATGGGCCCATTCGATGGGTATCTTACATGCAGCTTCTCGTTGCCTACCAGCAGGCCACCGGGTTCCAAGGCCCGGTACGTGATGGCAAACTGTGGCATGAGCCCAATCTCCAAGGCACCACCCTGGTGCCACGCACGCTGCGCCAACGAACCAAATGGTTCAAAGCAGCCCTCAATGCCCTTTGGGACGAGCAAGGAGTCTCTTACACTGTTGCCTTTGCCCGGCCAGAAAGTGAAACTCTCTGTGCCTGGCTCCAGTGTGTCAGCGTTCCTTGGCCTCAGGCCAGGCATGAGGCGGTCGAGATTTGGCTTGGGCAGCACCTCCCGCAAGGAGTGCTGCGCCGCACCACGCAAGGGGCCGGCTATTTGCCACCAGCTGGCCCAGTGGCTTTGCTCAGAATTCAGACCCCACCGTCGAGCTCCCTGCTCCGGTGGATGAGAAGAACGTAGTTCGTGACTCAAAGAGTCGTCAGCCGGCCGCGTGCAATAGCACCACGCCGGGATGAGCCAGTGAGAAAATGAGAAAGAGGTTTTTAGGGTTTAGTGGCGGTTTCCCCTAAACCGCTAAAAATGAAACTTTTAGCAGGGGCTCTGGAAATAGCCCGATGCTTCGAATGCAGTCGTACTTGGCTCCAACGAGCCGAGACAAGCCTTTCCCACGCCTGACCTTGTCCTTTTCCGCGTAGAAGCAACCAAGGGAACTGGGAAGCACCCTTGAAACAAAAAGGAATATGGCTGGTTGCCTCTCATAGTGGTAACTGGCATCCACAAACTTTGCCATATAAGGGGTGCCCTTTTTGTCCTTATCTGTGAAGGGGACCCCCTTTACGTTCTTACAGGAACAAAAGGAAATCAACCACCCGCACGGGTCTACTTGCTTGATCTACCAGCAGAGCCATATTTTACATATAGTCATGGTATATCGAATGTCCCAAAAGCGAACCACAATTACAGAGGATGGAGCGAGCAATGCTTGAACGAATTCATGTTGCTCATGTTCAATTTGTTTCAGACCCTGAATTTAACCCCTGGTTTGCGCGCCTGACGACCCGCTAGCCATGCCTCTCGACTGGCTATGGGATTCTTGGCACCATGTGCAGCTCGACAATTCCAGCGAAGCCGAGGGATGGGTCCAGAAGCATAGCTGTCCTTTGATTAGGTTTTGGGCAGAAATGGATGGGTTCCACTGGTTTGGATTGGTATGCCCCATATACCAGGGCCATCTATTTTACCAACAGGGCACGTATGCCCCATTTACCAGGGCCATCTATTTTACTGTCCAGAAGGCTGCCCTTTTCGGGTTAGGCCATTGGAAGAAAGGGTGGCTTGGTTGTGTAAAATGAATCCTTCTAGCACAGACCCCCAATTGTGGCGCACCCGTTTGGTTGTTGAAATCTCCAAGTGAGTGCCAACTGCACCTATTGCTGGGGCTTGCCAGCTGATTGTCACTATATCACTGGTTGTAGTGGTGTCCTACACATTTCAGGACTATGGATCACCCCGCCCCATTTCGAATAGCCCGGAGTGGACTGCTTTTGGATGTTCTTATCAAAATCACTTCTGGAGAGGTCGGGTTTGCTCCCTCATGGGCTGTAGCCTTGGGAAGCCGAGAAGTTGAATCAACACCTTGAAAACATCATGGGTAAAGGGGGGACAAACAAAGGCTTCTTTGATATGTATTCTTGGAAGGAATCATACTGAGACCTTAGGTTGGTTCATTCATTTGAGGTGCACATTCTCATTTCATTTCAGGGTATGACAATGGGTACACTTCTGCTTGTTAAAAGCTCCAGCGACGATTTATGTTTGAAAGTTCAGATGGCCAAGATGACAGGTGCCCAGGCCGCGTGGCCCGACAGATCGGACCGATGGGTTAGTCAATCGCAACCCCCAAAGTGGCTTCCCAGCTTCCTTTCGGCTTTCCAATGGAAAAAAACGGCCCAAAAAGGGCACCGACTCCGAAAGCGACATGCTCAAAGCAGCTCACCCGTTTGTGGAATGTGGAGCCCGGGATGTGAAGCCCTTGAATCGATTTGACCACCCTGTGGGACACCTCCAGACTCCAAACCATTAAAATTTCAATGGGAAGCTGAAAAACAAAATACGGAAATATTGCTCGGAGCAAGGAAGCCGCCCGTTCTTTTTTTGTGTGTTGTTTCTGTGTGGTGTGTCCAAGATTTGCGGTGACTCAGCTGAGGCATCCCCACGAGACCTCCTTCTTCATGGACAAGGACGTGGATTAAGCTGCGGTCATACCCCACCGAGTGAGCCTGCTCGTCGCAAAAGCTTATTATTTATGGAAGGCGTGTCTTTGTTGGAGGCTCGCTACCCCTTGTTCTTTTGTTTGGAGTTGGGACAGCACCCTTTGTTGTGGGTTTGAAAACCAACAGGAGAACCGTTGCCCCATTTTTGGGGGTCCGATTCCTAAAACAGACACCCACATGATGAAAGCACTGCGACGTACATTGGGACGTTCCCCTCCAACGAAGAGTTGAAAGTCATCCCTTTCATCCCTTTCTGGTTTGGACCAAGTTAGTGGCTGGTCAAATCCCATCCACCCGTATTGTTTCAATCCATCAAAGCTTGTTTCGAGAATTTCAAGCATGCTTTTTAAGGACCAAAATGACCAGGAGAACCAGGCCATGCGTTTGGCTGGGTCGATTGCTCAGGAGTCCCTACGGAATACTATGGCGGACCTCAGCATAGGCAGGGTTTGGGTGGTCCCGACTGAGAAATGGATAGGGGCGGAGTACCTGCAATAAAGAAAACACCTTGTAGGTCCAAAGGAAATGCATACTGTCAATGGCTGGCGGGTGCGTGTTTTCCTGATGGGACATGGTCCATGGCACAACTTTGTCGCAAGATGGGTTCCCTGAACACAGGGTATCTTACTAGAATAGTATAGGTTTGTCTGTGTGTGTGTGCATGTGACATGTGTGTGGCAAAAAACATAGGGGGTGATGTGTCAAACCAGTCAAACCGCCCAAACAGTCAACCAGGAAAGAGACATACAAGGACCTCTGAGCATCTTGAGGCCGCCAGTTTTGATTCTCTTTGACCCATCTGAGACTTGCCTTGCCGAGGGCAAAGCAGTAGGCTGATGTTCGAAACGAACGGGGCCCCGGATGTCCCGGAAGCGGAGCGGCGCAATAAAAATCCTCCAGCCAGGTCCGCTTTGGACAAGGGGATGCGGACGTTGGGAAAAGCAGTTGGGGGGGTGGGAGTTGACTAATCCTGGCAGCCCGTTATGTGGTGATTAGAATAGCCCATAGTTTGTGTTATGTTTTCCAAAGGAACGTAAAAAGGGGCTGGATGGGAAAGATTGTAATAATAATAACAACAATAATAATAACAACACTAATAATAATAATACATAGATAACTAATAATAATATATAAATAGTAATAATAATGGTAAACAAATACAATAGTTTAAAAAAAAAAAAAAATGACAATAACAAAACACCAAAGAAACAACACGAAAAACAACGGAACAATTATGTTTCCAGATCATCTAGTTGCCACTAAGCTATGTTTCAACGCCTCCGGATTGGTTGCTAGGGTTTAGGATCCCCGTTGTTCCTTGCATGAAAGGTTGATATTTGACTCGTGGCTTGCTCAACAAGTCCACTCTCACTCCCACTGATGTGAAAGCTGAAAACAAGTTCCCTTTCAGAGGAAGATGGTCTTCCAAAGGCCATGCAGCTTCCACTTTGGTGAGAGGCTCGCGTTTTGGGGATGAAGCAACGCGTGGGACAACGGGGCGCCTGGGGCAACCCAGTGAATCTCCCCAACACTTCCCAATGGTTTCGGGTGCCTGAATAGGCCAAAGCCACGATTCTCAGTGGGGCAAGCAATGACTCCTATAAACCATCCTTGTGGTTTCCTTTAAGGGATCCCTGGGTTCATTCCCAATCCCCCTGTTGAATCCCGACTGAAAACCAACAAGTTTAGTGGCAAACGACCAGTTGTTGTGTTTCCGTGTTCTTCTTGGCTAATCCACATTAGTGAGATCGATGATGTTTAGAGGAGTCTCGTTTTGACTTCTTCTTTTTTGTTTGAGGGTTCCATGTCAATTTCTATGGGAAACTTCTAGGAAGCTTCTAGCTGAAGCAAGCGAGCGTGAGGCGCCCGGAGCGCTTTCGCCTGTTGCCCTCTTTTGGTGGATTCCCTGTCAGCCGGTGGGAGCTTCCTCTCCGATGGTGCGGGAAACGTCGGATTAACCAAAGAAGGCTGACGTTCATAATTTAGTTGTTTCGCGGTGTATATGGGGGATGCTGCGCTTGATCAAATCGATCAAGGGTGCAGACCTAAAACATACCCAGGCCGCACTGGGCATGTATTCGCAGAGTGCATTTTTTGACCAGGGTGCAGCTACGTGATCCGACTTGCTGCTTTTCAGCAGGGAACGTGAGAACCGGACTGAACCATCCCTTGTGTCGCTTGAAGGGGATCTATACTCTTCTGGCTTAGTCCCCAAAATCCCCTGTTGATTCCCTCCCCCCCCCCCCCGGCCAGAACTGCCATTCATGTCCGAAAATATCAACTGGCCGACAAGCAGTCGTTGGGACGCGGGTGCTGGCTGTTCATTCCGCTGGTTAACTCCTCCTTCCTTCCCAGTTTTGAGCGTTCGCAAGGCCGGCGCGCCCACGCGGCTTTGGCGGAAGGGTCCACCCGGGAGTTGCAGGACATGGCAGCTGCGCACAAGGACGGCGGCGGAAAAGGTGGTTTGGGCGCCTTCAAGTTAACCAAAGGGACACCATATGGATATTTGGATTGGAAATTGTGAGATCTGGATGTGTTGAAGTTGGAAAAGTCGTTGTTTGGTTGGTCTAGAGGACAGTCAGAGGAAAACTGGGCCTGATTGTGAGGGGGCCTTTGTTTGGCGAGCCCGCATCTCGTGGGGGGCCTTGGCCTTTGCCAGCGTCCAAATACCTAAAGAGCCCGTTGTAGCTCGCCAGAAGCCTCCATGGGTGCCTGCACCCTTTGAGTTCAACCCTGGTTTTCGATTTTGCTGTCTATGACTTGGCCAAGTTGGAACCTCCAAAGAAGAACATATACCCCCATCATATTTGTGAGGACTTAATCGACTCAGGAACACCATAGTGGTACACAGAAAGATCCCGGATTTTGGCGAAAGCCGACCCACTCGTTGGGAAGGGTCCTTTAGCCAACTTGACGTTGATGGGCCAGCATCTCAGGCATTGTTCAGGGTGGGTTGGAACAACAGGTAGTGGGTGGTGAGATCCTATTTGTCCAAACTCCTGGTTGGGTGTCTCAACATACAGTAGGGGAACCCCAAAGTGACACTGTTTTCCTTGTGGTTTCCCTTTAAAAACCAAACGAAAGGGTTCCAAACGGTGCCCCCATGTAGAGGGTTCGTCAAACCGGGTCTGCCTTGGACTTTTCTGTGGCCCGGCCGCGGTTCCACACGGCCGACTTTGGAGACAGATGGCTCTATTTCCTGTGAGATCCGCCCATAGATCCTGTTAGATTCCTTCAGACCAAATCGAATTCCAACTACCCTTCTTTTCAAGAAGCAGTTTTCCCTGGGCGTTTGTGGTTTTCCGGAATGGATCCCATCTAGAAGATGCGCGAGCAACAATGCTGTCGGGAGTTGTCCCAATCCACGTTCTGGGACACGTTTCCTTGAAACCACTTCCCTTCAAGCCACTTCCCTTCAATCCACTTCATTCCGCTTCCAATCAATCAACCCTGCAGTGATCTCGATGTCGCTCCACGGCCCCTGTGTTAGTTCCCCTCGAGGCCATGGCGGGTCATCATCGCCGCGCGGCGGCCCAGTGGCCTTTTGGGGCCTAGTGGCCTTGAGACATCTTTGGGTGAAGCTCGTCTTCTTTAGGGGTACCCTTTTTGGGATTTGTGTAAAGGGAAACAGCGATTTGAAAACCCACGTTTTGGGGGGTCGACCTTTATCAAGACACACCCACGTGTTCTTTCCATCAGACCAGGACGCGCTGTCACGCGATTGGCTCGCCACATGTGTGAGCGACGCCATTTTTCCGGCTTCCCTGTCGCCGGGTGCAAGCCGCATGTCCGCTTCCTTGTTCTTTTCTTTTTTTTTGGGGGGGGGCATGTGGGCAAAGTTTAGGTGGCTAAGAGCCCTGTTTTCCAGTTGCCGTATTCATAGGCCACCAAGTATTTTGTCCCGGGTAACAAACCCTGGTTTCCTATTTGTAACTGCAAGCACTCCCGTGTGACGCATCACACGCAGGAAGTTTCGGGCTTACTTCTGGGAAGACTAAAGTCACTCGAGTGACTTTAGTGCAAAAAAAACCTACATCTCGCCCCAGGAAGTGAATTGCGGGTAGCCTTGGGGTTGGTTCAAAGGGGAGCCAAGGGAAAGCCACACGTTTGGAGTGGTTGCTTTGCGAGGTCACTTGGAAGCAGACGCTGCCAGCCAACCCAAGGCTCCAGGCAAGGGCCCCCGGGCTACTCCCGGCTACTGACCTCAGGGTGTGGGTAAGGCTTGTGAGTCTCGTGTGAGTCCCGACGTGAATTGCCCCTTTTCTCCGTTTTGTTGGAGGGGTCCCCTTCCAACCTCCAAAAAAGCGGGGTCATTTTTTTGTTGTTTTACTCCTAATTATTCTCCTTCAGAAAAGTGTCAGTTCAATCTTTCCCGTGGAAATCCGCTTGTGCGGGCCCTGGTTTAGCGGAAAGCTCTCACGACTCCAACCACTTAGGGCTCCGAGACATTCCATGAGGCCACGTTTGTGGCCTGATCTCGGGCAAGCCAGCGAAACCATGGGGGACGCAGCTTCCTTTGCGCCAGAGTTGAATGGGGTCGTGGGCTCCTATTAAATCAGATTCCGCATGATTACAGGGCCATGCTGTAATGATTTAGCCCCCTGCATTGCATGCTTTGAACCTTGCAGTCGAGTTCGCTGCTCTCATCCAATGGAGAGGCGAAGCATGGGGGAACACGTGCTACCATAGAATTAGTGCTGCGAGAATCCCCCGTGGTTCAGCGGTTTAGATCTTCGCAGCTGCCAATCTAGGCACATCACAGCACAACAAATCTGAGTGCCAAACCTGGCTCCCCTTTTCACTTGTTGTTCGCTCGATGTTCCGTATTTCTCCTTTCAACAAAGAAACAATTAGACTCTTTGCAGGGAATCTAAGTCCAGTTTCATACGCTTCTAATTACCGGATCGAACCAGACACCTAGGATGAGACTGAGTGCAACTTATGCAATTATCAGACAAGTGGAAAAGAACCTGGTCATGCCGTGGGTGTCCTTTCAGATCACTTTGGTCGACCATAGATCGCACTAAATACCGTTCTACTAAATTTACCACCAGATTCCATCTAACCTTCCTATGTTGGGCTTAAAAAGGGACAGGTTCTAAACATTTGCCAGCAAACTCCGTCTGCCAAAAGGAAGGCTGGACAAGCCAGGCCTCGAGGTCACTTGAGGTTCCGATGGCCTTGGGATTTCAGGTCGGATGTTTGCGGCGCTGGATGAGAGGCAACTTCCAAAGCGGGGGGATGGCCCTGCCATATTTGCGAGTAAACCAGAAAATGTCATTAAGTTAGAGGATGTGGAACAGATTGAGGCTTTGGAATAGAGGGAGGGTGTCACACTTTCTGTTTGGTTTTGCTCAGTGGGAAGAGCAACCCAGCTTAGCGGGGAGCAACAAGGGCGAGACTTTGGGCCAACCCACGCTTCCGTGACCATGAGTTGATCGCAGACTGCCCGAGTGTTATTTGGCCCTCGCAGGGTTTGCGGTTCTTCTTTGTGAGGAATCCTGGGCAACGTACATAGCCTGTAGTAGATTTGTTTCCCCGAATCATCACCTGCGGATGCTTGAAAAGATGTGCCAGTCTCAAAGCACATTCTTCACCTTGTTGTTTGTTTTTTTGCTTGCTTCCAGTGGCACAGGGCTGCCCTATGGGTCTTCTCCACGAACTGGAATCTGCGATGAAACTTTGGGCCTTGCGAGCCCCCGAGGTTGCACTACCCAACCCAAATCGTGTCCCTTAAGATTTTGGACAACCTAAATGTTAGGTTGTCCAAAATCTTACAGGTTCCCGGTTGGTGTGTTTAGCACGGAGGCTACGCATCGACTGAAGCTGCGGAAGTATTCGGAGAAGATGCGACCATGATGTGCACATGTTTGTTTCAAGACAAACAACAGACTTTGAAGGGTGGTAGGTACTACGGGTACGGTCAATGACCCCTCTCATTTGGTCCAATAGGAGTCTTAGACCTGCATAATCACTCTGAGCAGCAGAAGCAGTTTGACCCTTGGCGCCACGTCTTGGTCCTGGCCACCTCTCATCTTTGAATTTCCAGGCTCATTGTCGGGTGACTTTTTTGGAGGTATCTGTTCTGCGTGGTTGCAAAGGGAAGTCAAGGAAAGCCGCCAACGGATCGCGAACACAGTGAATGAACATCGCCAGTCTCTTTGTGTGCCTCCTTCTCAACTTCCCATCAACCAGAGATGTTGATACTGGTAGAACGATGGGCCCCTTTGGGAAGTGTCCAATCGGTGTATAGCAACAATTCAAAGACGAACGGGCAAATTATGGATTACACGAAGGACCCCTGAGCAGGCACGCCCCAACCCCCATCCACTGCTTGTTGGACAGTACTTGGGATTTTGTACGTTGGAAAAAGCAGTGGCTGGGGGGCTGCTGCAAGGTGTCTTTCTTGGTCAATGTGGTTTCACAGACCTGTGGTGCAACAACTCACTCCTTGAATTCCTGGACTGTACGACTTTTTGGGCTTGGACCATTTTTAGCGTTGTTTACTCACACATGACATGCGGACGCTTAATTTTCTTGTTCCGTGCTCAGCAGGGAACGGAATGACCCCTATAAACCATCCCTTGTGGTTTCCTTTACGAGACCCCTGGGTTCATTCCCTGATTCCCTATTTGTCGCACCAGAAGGTTGTTTTGGCTAGTTGTGCTAGTTGACTATTGATGCCCCTGTTTGTGCTAGTTGTTCAAAAATTGGTTTAGTATATGTTGAAAGGAAAAGACCTTATTGATTATTGGTTTATACAACTTGCAAACCTTGCATGTTCAGCCCTTTCAAAGGGGTGACTTGTCTATACATCTTGCCTACCACGTTTCATTTCTTGAAAGACGTTATATAGATCATAGGTTTAGTATATTATGTTGAAAGACGTTTAGTCTAGGTTGTGCTAGATATCTTCAAAGATTGGTTAAGGTTGGTGTACGATTTGCTTTTTCGCAAATACTAAGCTATACTAAATGATATACCATTTTTTCCATTGAATTTAGTTTGATATTGCTTTTTTTACATACTAAAATACTAAAACCTTTTTCCCATTGAACTTAGACTGAATTTTGGCATTCCATCCACTAACTCGCTTTCGCTCGCTCGCTTTCGCTTCTTTGTCCGCAGGCCAGCAGCCAAAGCCAAGCGCGTGGGTCGCTGCAGCTTCTTCCCGGAGGCAGCGGGGCGTTGGGTTCGGTTTCAGCCCAAGGGAGTCAGCGAAGCGGGGAGTTCCTGGACTTGAGTCACTTTCTTGGCTTGGGATTTTGTTGAGCGGCAAACCAAAAGTTAACAGACTCGTTTTGTTTGGCCAGTCACTGGTTCGGAAGTGAGGGAAGGAAAGACGGGCGAGAATGGCAGTACCTTTCGGAATGCTTCAGTCTTGCTTTGATAACGGGACAGCCTTCTAAGAAGCCTGCTCCCTGTCGCAAGCTTTGTCCTGGTCTCCTGGCGCCGGTGCGAAGTGCGAAGACTTCTGTGAGAAAATTTGCCCCATGTGAGACATCGCCCCAACACCCGAGCTCAACATGAACTGAGGGTTCCCCTTAGAGGCAATATCGATTGCTAACGAGGGTGGCCTTCTGGTGCATTTGCTTTTTTTCTTCTGGTGTGTGTGTGTGTGTTGGTGTTTGTTTGCGCTGTTGTGTTGATTGTCCTGTCTTGCTTTGTTTGTTCCGCATTGTGTTGATGTTCTTTATAAAATTTAGTTTGTTTGTTCTGATTCATTTCGTTTTGTTATGTTCCTTTGCGTTGTTTTTGTTTCGCTTTCTGCTTCCCGCCCAGATTGTGTTTCTTTTTTTCCCCCGTGTCAGGCGGGAACCGGGCGAGTCACCTACCAGCGACCAACTCAGTGCTGCACACTGGGCAAGGTAGTTATTCTCGTTTCGCTATTTGGCGCATGTTTGTTTTTTGCAGCCAGGCTTGTGGTGCTTTTTGGTTCTTGTGTTGTTGTTACTTTTGTCGGTGTTTTGTTTGCAGTGTGGGTGCTGAAGAATCTGGAGTCGGAGTGCGCACAGATACAGTCCACTGATTGTACCTGTTGGTTTCGATCTAGTTTTTCTTGGACGAAAGAACTCAGAATGTCATGCAATATATGGCTCCCACAGGAGCAACTTGACGCAAAGACGAAAGACATGTAAGCAGCTTCTAGTCAAGGGGACCATTGTGCCTTGCCCAAAGCTGACCTGAACAATGCATATATATTTTTGCGCTTGGAGATGATTTCAATTTCAATTGGTCAAGAATCCAACAGGTGATGGCCCGTAACACACATTAGTGCACCCCAACCATCTCAGCCTCAATTTGTCTATCAAGATATTACGCTGGGTTGGCCAGAATCAATCCTTAATCCTTATGACGTATATTTGGTTTCCTAGTATTGGAGCAGCCTAGTCAACTGTACTCAGCGTCCAAAGCGAATCAGCCTACTTGAGGAGTTCAATCTGGCGTATAAGTTGTGGGGGCGGGGCTTCCGAAAGTGAAGGTTCCCCTCTAGAGTGGGACTGCCCCTATGAATCAACCACGGGGTTGTACTAATCCTGTCTCAGCAGAAACGAACAAAAGAAACGATCAAACGAATTCGCTGGACCCGAGCAAATCCACTTCGAGTCTCCAGCAAGTGCGCGGACATGCGTAGAGCCGAGGTGCTGCAACCAGGATGGCTGTAAGAGAGCCAAAGCGCCAGCGCACGTGGCCGGTTCGCACAATGACCTTGTTTTTCGCGCCCGGCGCTGAGAGAGTTTCAGCGAACATCGTTCGGGCAAGAAGT